CTGCACAATAGAATGAAACACTGCCCAGTCCTGCACCATCTGCACCATGGTTGTTACATTTGAGCACATTGTGGCTGCTATGGTGTCAATCCATCTTATTGGGGGTCTTCCTCTTTTTGGCTGATCCTTTACTTGTTCAAGCATGATGTCTTTCTTCAGGGATTGGTCCCTTCTTATAACATGTCCAAAGTATGAGAGACAAAGTCTCACCATCCTGGCTTTTAAGGAACATTCTCGATGGACTTCATCCAAGCCAGATTTGTTTGTTCTTCTGAGAGTCCATGGTACTTTCACTATTCTTCAACAACACCATAATTCAAATGCATCAATTCTTCTATGGTCTTCCTTATTAGGTTTCTGTTTGTTTGTTTTTTAATATGCATATGAGGCTGTTGAAAATACCATGGCTTGGGTCAGGCACTTCTTGGTCCTCAAACTAACATCTTTGTTCTTGAACACTTTAAAGAGGTCTTGTGCAGTAGATTTCCCTAATGCAATACGTCCTTTGAATTCTCAGCTGCTGCTTCCATGAGTGTTGATTGTGGATCCAAGCAAAATGATGTCTTTGACAACTTCAATCTTTTCTCCATTTATCCTGATGTTATGTATTGGTCCAGTGGTGAGGATTTTTGGTTTTTTTACACTGAGGTACAATCCACACTGAAGGCTGTGGTCTTTGATCTTCATCAGCAAGTATTTTATGTCCTCTTTGCTTCTAGCAAACAAGGTTGTATCATCTGCTTATCAGTTTGTTAATGAGTCTTCTTCCAGTCCTGATTCTACATTTTCCTTCATTTAATCCAGCTTCTTGGATTCTTTGCTCAGCATACTGAGTATGATGAAAGAGTACAACCCTGGCACACACCTTTCCTGATTTAAAACCATTCAGTGTTCCCTTGTTCTGTTCAAACAACTGCCTCTTGGTCTATGTACAGGTTCCTCATGAGCGCAATTAAGTGATCTGGACTTCCATTCTTTGCCATGTTATCCATAGTTTGCAGTGTTATCCACACAGTGAAATGCCTTTGTAGATTCAATGAAGCTTAGTAAACATCCTTCTGGCATTCTTTGCTTTCAACCAATATCGAGCTGATGTCAGAAGCGATATCCATGGTTCCAGGTCTTCTGAATCTGGCTCTAATTTCTGGAAGTTCAATGTTGATGTACAACTGCAATCCTTTTTTAATTATCATCAGCAAAAATGTACTTGTATGTGGTATTAATGATATTATTCCATGATTTCCATATGCTGTGGGGTCATCTTTCTTGGGTATGGGCACAAATATGAATCTGTACCAGTCAGATGGCCAAATAACTGTCTTCCAAATTTCTTGACATAGATGAATGTGTGCCTCCAGTGCTGCATCAGTTTGTTAAAAGATTTCAATTTGTACTCTGTCAATTCCTGGAGCCTTATTCCACACACACACACACACACACACACACACACCCTCCCACAATACCTTCAGTGCAGCCTGGACTTCTTCCTTCAATACCGTTGGTTCTTGAGCATACGCTACCTCTTGAAATGGTTGAACATAGGTTATTCCATTTTGGTACAGTAACTCTCTGTGTTCTTTCCATCTCTTTTTTTTTTTTTTTTTAATGTTTTATTGTGAATTATGTGATAGTTTTCATGGGAGAACATTAGTTTTACATTCATCCTATCGTATATCGTTTCATTGCCATGGTTACAATCCCCTCCATGCATCATCAACCAACCAAAGGATATACACTACAACCTTTCTCCTCCGGTGGTCAGCACGCAGCCCCCTACCTCTCTGTGTCTAAAGTCCCCAGCTGCTCCGTCTCTCCACGTCATCGTCTCTACCTCCATCTCTGGCATCACTGCCTCTCTGGGTAGGGTCCCGCTCTCCGCTCTTCTCCCTTCATGGTCCCAGGGACCTCCGCTCCTAGACTGCAAAGTTAATCACTCCCCTCCTTGCTACAAAATGTCTACCTTTACATTTCCAACCCTCACAATCAGTCCTGATAACAATTATTCACTATTGTATCACAAGAGACCTATCTGTCCATCTCCTTTTAATGCTTTCTGCATCATTCAATATTTTGCCCATGTTGTTGTTAAGTTCCATTGAGTCAGTTCCATCTCATAGAGTTCTTGTGTAAGGTTTCCTAAGAGTAGTTGGTGAGTTTGAACCACTGACTTTATGTCCAGAGCTTATCCTAAAGCACCACTTAGAATCCTTCAATATTGAAACTCGAAGCTTGAATTTTTTCTTCAGTTCTTTCAGCTTGAGAACTGCTGAGTGTGTTCTTCCCTTTTGGTTTTCCAACTCTAAGTCACTTTAGCTTTTTTTCTTTTTTTTTTTTTTACTTCTAACAGAAAGTTTCAGAGTCTATTCTGACATCCACTTTTTCCCTTTTCTTTCATTCCTGTCGTTTTCATGACCTTTTGCTTTCTTCCTATAGGATGTTCTTGATGTCATCCCACAACTCTTCTGGTCTTTGATCACTAGTGTCTAGTGCATCAAATCTCTTCTTGAGGTGTTTTCTAAATTCAGGTGGGATATACTCAAAGTCATATTTTGACTCTTGTGACGTTGGTTTAATTTTCTTCAACTTCAGCCTGAACTTGCATATGGCCAATTAATGGTCTACTCCACACTCATCTCCTACCAAGAGGGAAAACAAATTTCCACACATTTGTTCTTTAAACATTTTAAAATATAAGATCCCTTCTTAGCTCATAGTCTGTGGGCCAGATAGGGCCATGCTCTGCCCTAGAATATTGTCTAGTGAAGCCCCACGGCTCTCAGGGATAGAAACTCCTAGACTTGATCAAGTTACATATTAACTTTCCAAAGGCAGATACACTGTAGATGATTTTGATTCAGTAGAAAAGAGAACCCCAAAGCTTATAGTTTTATTGTCTGGTAGGACATTAACCCATTTTGGGTCTAATTTTACAATCTCATTTCAGCATTCCTTTGCTCCACAGCCCTGGTGTGGTGCTGTGGGTTAATGCGCTGGATTGTAAAGTCAGTATGAACCACAAGGTCGGTGGTTCAAGCTCACCAGCTGCTCCTCAGAAATCCTATGCAGGGTCACTATGGGTCAGAACTGACTCGATGGCACTTAAAAACAACAACCACATAGATAGATGGTGTAGTGCAGGATAATGCGCTGGGCCACAAGGTGGGTTTGAACTACAAAGTATGTGGTTCAAACTCACCAGCCACTCCTTGGAAACCCTACACAGGGTCGCTATGAGTTGGAACCAACTCCATAGAATTTAACAACAACAGTGATAGATAGATAGATAGCTGGATAGGAGTCCTGATATGCAGCTATAGGATCTGCACTGAGCTGCTAACCACAAGGCCGGTGGTTCAAACCCATCAGCCATTCCTCAGAAACCCTATATAGTGTTGCTATGAATCAGAGCCAACTCAACAGCATACAACAAGATAGATAAGGAGCCTTGGTGGCACAGTGGGTTAAGCATGGGCTGCTAACTAAAAGTTTGACAGTTCGAACCCACCAGCTGCTTCACAGGAGAAAGATGAGGCAGTCAGTTTCCATAAATCTTCACATCCTTGTAAACGCTCCTGTCTAGTCTATGTTGTTGTTGTTGTTGTCAGGTGCCATCAAGTTGGAATTGACTCATAGCGACCCCATGCACAGCAGAACAAAACAATGTCCGATCCTGGGCCAACCTCACTACCGTTGCCACACTTGACACCATCAATGATGCCACCTGGCTGATCCATCTCGTTGGGGGTCTTGCTCTCTTTCTCTGAGCCTCCACCTTATCCAGCATGACATCCTTCTCCAGCGACTGTTCTCTCCTGACAATATGTCCAAAGTATGAGAGACGAAGCTTAGCCATCTTGGCCTCCGAGGCCGTATATCTTTACGGGAGCAGAAAGTCTCATCTTTTTTTTCCGTACTAGATTCAAATTGCTGACCATGTGGTTAGCACTCCCCACTCATAACCCACTACATTACCAGGGCTCCTCCCACTATGGTCCAGGTTGGCTATTTTAACCCACTTAGTGGTGTCCATGGAAGAAAGACCTGGTGATCTGCATGAACACCCATGGAGCACAGTTTGATTCTGTAACTCGTGGAGTTGATGTGAATCGGAATCAACTTGATGGCAATGGATTTGGTTTTTTGGTTGATAGACTTACGGATGGATGGATGGATGGATGATGGATGGACAGATGGATGGATGATGGATGGACAGTTAGTGACCAAGAGTCTATTTCTTATACTCTCCTTTGAACCAGCATTACCATCTTACTGGTTCCCTCATTCATGACTTAAATAAATTTTGGCACCTATTCATTTTATTTCTATATGAGAATCATGATTTAGCATTTTTGGAAATCATTCGTTGACTTAGCATTTCTGTCTACCAGAGAGGTAAGAGTTTGACTGCAAGCTGAGAGGAGAAGGAGGTTAGAGAAGGTATAATCAGAATTTAAACTCTGCCTTCCTCTGGAAGATGGGCTGAGACCCTTGCCCCCACCTATATGCTGGGTAGAAAGTCTCCACAGTGTCGGGGGTATCTGAGAATTCAGGAGATCAGAGTCAAAGGGCACAGCAGCCCTGCACAGTGTCAGGGGTCCTGGCCACACAGATCATGGTGTGAACAGTGCCCCCTGGGCTCAGCCAGAAAGCTGTGGGCCGCTTGGAGAGAAGGGAAGGGATTGCAAGATTATTTTCAGTGATCAGGGAAAAGGGTATATTGTGAGCAAACAGAAATCAATGAGAGAAAAATCAGGCACATTTATGTACAACTAAACCACACATACACACAAACATGTTACACACATCTGGACACTCTCCCACCCTACAGACTCAAGCCTAGCTCAGGATCCCTCACTGCCGCACCCCCACACACACCCAGAGAGTCCAGATCAGGCTCCCTGCACCCACTATGGAAATCATGTGTCCCCAGACCCTCAGCCAAACCAAGAAAAACACCAACTCAAAAGGAAGGGGGTAGGAAAACAGAAAAAATAGCGTACCCAGCGTGGAATTCAGTGCAACTATGTCTTTCACACTGGTCTCTGTTAAAAAAAAACACACACACACACAACAAAAACACAAGGGGAAAAAACAAATAAACAAAAGTAAATAAAATAAAAAACGAAAAGAAAAATAGAAGAGCCCATCAGAACCAGCTTTGTCTGAGATTTACCAAGTGTCTCCCATGGCCCTCCATCCCCTTCGCCCCTCTGACCTGGCTCCTGGTCACTCAGACTTGGAAGTCCGCCTTGAAAACATCCCAGGCCTTGCCACCAGCCTGCCTCCCTGCACACCAGGCTGACCCCAGGCTGCCCGTCCCTGGTACTGACCCAGGATCACCAGGCCCTCAGAGTCCACCTCGTACTCGGTCCTGTAGGGTGCGGTGGTTGAGCTGTTGGCTGTGGAAAGTAGTTCCTCCACCAGTAGTGCGCGGACCCTATCAGGGCTCAGCATTGGCCGACGATGCTCGGGGATTTGGAGGACGAACCAGAAGAAGCAGGTAAAGGGTCCCTCCCTACGACAGATTAAAATAAGAGGGGCTGGAGACAAGAGATGGGAGTCTGGCCCCTGCCCAGCCTGCTGGGAGCAATCCTATTCTGGCTCAGGCTTATTGAGCGTTTACCATAGTCTCAGTCTTTACCAAGAAACCTTCCAACAACCTGGCATCAGACCCTCTTACAGGTGAGGAAACAAACAGAGGTACAGAGGTTAATTGCTGTCAAAAAAAATGGCAGATCTGAACACAGTCACTGAACTCTTGGGCCCATGTGCTAACCAACACCTCCAGGGCCTCACCACAAGTAAGAGGGCTTCAAAAAGTTCATGCAAAAATTCCACTATCTTTTAATTTTATTTGTCCACCAACTTTCTCAAGCCCCCTCATATGCACCAAGCACTTGAGAAGTACGCTACATTAGTGGTCGAACGTGTTTCTTGTTGCCGAGATGGGGAAACCAAGTTCAATGAAGGGATGCCATACACAAGAAGCCAAATCCCCTACCACATTACATCAGCAGCCCCCAGAACACCCCACTCTATGAATCTGAGCCTCTAGCAGGGGCAGTGTAGGGAACTGGGGGCAACTTACCCAAAGGAGTAGACAGAGCTGGAGTTGTAGAAGGGACCCAGGCGGGTGCTGGCAATGAGCTCCCGGAGCTAAAAGGAGGAAAAACAACCATTGGTTACATGACCAGGTAGCCCTAAGTACCTTTCCACCTGGGCATCTCTCACCCCTCCGGGTAGCCCTGCTTGACAGAGGAGCCTGCGGAAGCCCATAGGCATGCAAGGCTCTCCTGAGGTCACACAGTGGTGAGTGACCAACCAGGGCACCAACCTTACATCCATTCCACCTTTTGTCCCCTTTGTCCCACAGCCAGTCACTGCCCCACCCCAACTCTGTGTTCCACCTGAACACCAGTGGCTTTCTTTCCGGGTCTTTGGAAGCCACTCATCAACTCTGAAAAGCCCACTTGGCTCCTGATTGCCCTTCCTCACCTACCCTGACTGGGAGCCCAGCGGCATGGTCTGCGTACATATTCAACTACAGTTCTGATGGTGGGGTCAGATGAAGAATGCGCTTTCCTCAAGTCCATGTTATCTTAGATGGGGTTCTGAGACTGTAACACTTTATGGGAGCAGACAGCTTCATCTTTCTTTAGCAGCGTGGTTGGTGATTTTGAACTGCCAACCTTGCCATTAGCAACCCAATGCTTAATCCACAGTGCCACCAGGTCTCCTAGTAAATAGCACAGGTCAAAGTGCCTTTGACCCTAGAACCCATGAACTTTCTACCCAGTATCACACCTTCCTCCTTAGTATCTCCCCATCATGCCTAGAACAGGGAGGCTCATGGTGAGGGCTCCGGATGGATTGAGCAATTGGCTTAGCCTGATCAGAACCACCTCCCCAACCCATCACCAAATCCTGCCACCTGTTGTTAGCTTCTCCCTCCTGCCCACCTCCCCTCCCCACCATCCATCCATCCTTACCATCTTCTGGGCTTTGGCAGTTTCACTGCGAAAGGCACTGGACTCCCGTCGGGCCAGGTCCTGGGAGAAGTGACGATTGAGCACTCGGAGGCTGCCTGAGTACACTTGGCTGACCATCACTTCCGCCTTGTACCCTGCCCAGGATGGAGTCAGCAGGGTTAACCGAGGGAGCAGATGAGAAGGCCTCCTGCACTCTCCACCCCCACTGTCTCCTCCCACCCTAAACCCTCAGCTCAGTCTCAGCGTCTCAGGTCTCCAAGGCACCGCCATCATCTTTCTCTTTGTCATTGTCATCCAAAGTGTATTTGGTGACCAACTGGCCCCAAGGTACCAGGTGGATAGTGCCCCAAGGGTTGTAAGGATACAGATGACAGGAAGAACAGGAAACCCATGTGGGTTCAGAGGTCAAGGTCATGGGTTAGCCTCTCACCAGTTTAGCCAGGGATTCCACCAACAAGGGGCATTAGTGAACCAAACATTAGCGTATGGGGGGGGGGAGGGGGGGGAGGGAGCTACTGATCCAACAATACCTGTGAGAAGTACCATCAAGGTGTCCCTGAGAGAACATGAATGAAACCCGTCCTGGACTGGGGGCTCAGTTATAAGGACTGAGAAAGTAAACTGGGAAAAGGAGAGGGAAGGAAGTATTTTCCATCAGAGGAAAGAGCATGAGCAAATGCCCTGAGGCAGAAAGATCATGTTGTTGTTGTTGTTGTCAGGTGCCATCAGGTAGGAACCGACTCATAGAGACCCCATGCACAGCAGAACGAAACAATGTCCGATCCTGGGCCAACCTCACTACTGCTGCCACACTTGAGTCCATCAATGATGCCACCTGGCCAATCCATCTCATTAGGGGTCTTCCTCTTTTTCTCTGACCCTCCACCTTACCCAGCATGACATCCTTCTCCAGTGACTGTTTCCTCCGGACAATATGTCCAAAGTATGAGAGACGAAGCTTAGCTATCTTGGCCTCCAAGGATCACTCTGGCTGCACTTCTTCCAAAACAGAAAGATCATAGAGATGATAAAAAGTTAGTGGCCTGCTTGGTTGGGGCAATTAAAGAGGTAGAGGGAAGGGTCATATAGCAAGAAGCTAGAGCATCAGTAAGACCAAGAGGATTTTGGTCCTTCTCAGTGAGCAAAGAAAACCCTGAAAGGGTTATAATTGGGGGTAACATCAGATTCTCATGGTGCTGTAGGATCAGCACTGGACTGCGAACCACAAAGTTGACCATCCAACCCATCATCTGCTCCTCGGAAACCCTCTACAGGGTCGCTATGAATCAGAACCTACTCAATGGCACTTAACAGCAACAACAACAAAGCTCAGTTTGAGCTGATGTTCAGGGGTTGGATTCATAGCCCTGAGTTTATACTCCTATTTATTCATTAATTGATTGATTCAACATGTATTTATTGACAACTTACTATATGCAGGTACAGGTCTAAAGCACTTGGGACTATATCAGTATAACAATGAACAAAACAACAAAGCAAAGAAAGGAAACAAAAAACTGCTCTCAAGAGCCTATAGTTTAGCAAGGAAGCCAGATACAAACAACAGAACATAGAGATGAGATGTGCTATTGGGATCACGGGCTGGGGATGGATTGCAGTTATAAGTAGGGAGGTCAGAGGAGAAGGTGACAGAGTTAGCCCACTCGGGGTGTGTACCTGGAGAAAGAGCATTCCATCAGAGAACCCAGCAAGTGCAAAGGCCCTGAGGCACAGGCATGAGGAACAACAAAGAGTGGGGTAGGGGGAGAGGAAGAGCAGGGTGAGGTGGGATGGAGCCTGGGGAAGAGAGGGAAGTCCTGTGGGTTGTACTGAGAGTTTTGATGATTTGATATACATTATAAGATGATTCTCTAAGATTGTGTTGAGAGAAGACTTGACCCATAGAGTTGGTCCTGACCCATAGCTACCCTGTATAGGGTTTCTGAGGAGTGGTTGGTGAGTTTGAACTGCGACCTTGAGGTTGAGTGCTTATCCTATGATGCCACACTAGGCCTCCTAACATCCAGGAGAAAGAAGTCTTCTGGTGACATATGTGTTAATGTCTTCAGAGGTTAACTGAAAGGTTGGGAGTTTGAGTCTACCGAGAGGCACCTTGGGAAAAAGGTCTGGTGGTCTCCTCCTGAAAACTCAGCTATTGACAACACTCTGGAGCACAGTTCTACTCTGACACACATGGGGTCACCATGAGCTGGAGCCCACTTGACAGCAATTGGTCATCTGATATAAAAGGAAGAGAGAGGCAAGAGAGAAATACCTGGGATGGTGCCCCATGGGATGTGGAAGATTGGGAGGCACAGGTTTGGAGGTGAGGCAGCCCAGAATTGCAACCTGAACCCGTGGGGCTGAGATGCCCCTTGGACATAGAGAGGAGGGAACTTGGGTTATAGTGTTTGGTAATGTAAATTCAGTAGTGCTCTAGGTATAAAAGGCTTTATACGATAAGCACTGGACTGTGAATCATAAGGCCCACGGTTCGAGCCTACCAGGTGCTCCTCAAGAGAAAGATGAGGCCTTCGCTCCTACAAAGATCTAAACCCTCGGAAACCCTAAATCTCTATGAGTCAGAACCGACTCCTCGGCACTTAACAAGGACTGGGTATAAAAGACATTTACATAAAACTCCAGGGGCTGGATGAGATCAGAAAGAAGCAGAGGAAGGCAGCAAAGACCCAGAGGAACGGGAGCTGTGTGCCCGGGGGTGGAGGGTGGCTTAGTTTTGAGGTGAAGAATGGAGGAAGGGAGCCCAGGCAGCTGTGGGTCAGGTGTGATGAGGATTGAGAACTGGCCCTTGGATTTAGGAACAAAGTCTCCCTGGTGACAGAGTGGTGGAGTGAGAGCAGATTGGGAGGGTCCCAGAGAGACTGGGGCTGGAATCAGAGGCCCCAGTGCACACACTTTCAAGGGGCTTGCTGCCAAGAGGAGGGTGGGGCTGCTGGGGAAAGATATGTGGTTCTGGGGCCCAGGCCATGGAGGGTGGGCAGAGGGGCTGAGACTTGGTGCTTGGAGGGGGCCAGCTTTGGGCAGGAAGGGATGTGGGGGCAGCTGGAGGGTGTGTCAAGGTGTGTTTGAGGCTAGTCTTCTGAGCAGTACTTGGTCCTTATTGAAGCTGAGGGAGAGGAAACGGCTGGAAGTTGGAGTGCAGAGGGACATGTGAAACCTCACAGCCAAAAGCAAGAGGGGAAGGGCCAGGGAAGGTGGTATGGGGGAGGGATTACACCTGGATGGGGCGCTGCATTCCCACCCAGCACTGAGCACCAGGCACAATGGGCAGCCAGCAACACAGTCTCCAGGCCCACCGCCTCTCAGCCTCTTCCTGGGCTCATCCTCCTCCAGCCATCTCCTTTGCAGACAGGGAGCTCCCCAAGAGCAGCCTGCATCCACTCTTGTCCAAGCCCACTGGAGCAATGCCTGGCTGGGTGGATGGGTGGAGGATCAGCACCTCCCCAAGTGCCCTGAACTTTCAGACCTTTCTGGGTGGGGTTATCTGACTTCCCGTGTTAAGGCTTAGAATCACTCAAGGGCAGGGGGTGGAGTGGGGGGTGTCCTAAGCCATTGGGACACTCTTCCTCCCCTGGAGGGTTTACCCCAGGAGTACCACAATCAGAAGCAATTAGTCTCTGCTGCTAAGAAAGACGATTCGCAGCCCCGTCCCCACTTAGTGGTTTACCCTGAAGACTAATTATTCCGCTGTGCTGCCAATGGAGGCCCTGGCAGCCCTGGCGCTATTTGGGGCGCTGGCTTCCTGCCGGTGGTGAAGTGCACACAGCTTCCACTCCCCGCCCACTGCTCAGCACTGGCAGTCACAGCCCACCCTGTGAGGCCTCACCATCCGTGGTTCGCATTCCTGACAAGATGGCCTCAGTGGCCAGTGCCAGCCACCCTCACGCTGACCGTCCCTGGAACTGAGTCTAGGCAGATCTCCATTCTGACTACTGCAAAATGGGTCCCACAATTCCTTCCGATGGGCCTGAGACCCCCCATGAATCATAGTGTTGTTCAGTACTGTTGAGTTTGCTCCGACTCACAGTGACCTTGTATAGGGTTTCCAAGAAGTGGCTGGTGTGTTTGAACAGCTGACTTTGCAGTTAGCAGTCCAGTGCTTATCCTACCATACCACACCAGGATTCTCTAACCAGTGAAAATGCTATCTAACTTTCACAGAGTGTTTACTTGTGAAAATCTCTGATCCCTTAGGCAGAGATGGTGGCCCCTGCCATAGGCACTCTCACCCCCCGGGGTTCCTCTATCCTAGCACACGTTATATGCCTGACCCTGCAGCCAAGTCATGAGGATGGGGGCAGAGGCTGACACACAGGGGGTGTGCAGTACTGAATGAATGAATGAATGAGTCTTTCACAGAGTACAGGGAGCATTCTCATACACACTATGACTGCCTATGGCCAAGAGTTGAAGGAATAAAATACAGTTTCCATTGGTTTTAGAGCAAGACATAGTAGGTGCTCAACAAATGTTGAAAGAATGGAAGGATGGCTGAATGAATGGGTTCAGAACATGGGCCATCTGCTTCTGGAGCTCCAGGGGATTGGTTGAGGGGAAAACAGGGTCAACATTAAGGACACGGAGTGGCCCGAATCCAGCTACATTCTCTGTTGAATCCCCATGTGTCCACGCTAGGGCAGGAAAGAGTCCCCTGGTAGCCCAAGTCCTGTGTCCCCTCACTCACCTCTATCTGTGCTGGGGCCTGGAGACACAGAGGTGATGGAACTGTGGTCCCCACCCTAGAGAAACTCCAGGCTGGGCTTAAGTGAGCAGAATTACTAATTGGTACATGCGTACCCGGCGCCACGGGCCTCTGCCAGGAGAGACGGGCTGGCTGGGAGCCCCAAGGGCAACCCAGGAGGGCTGTGGACAAGGGAAGGCGGTGTTTACAATCCCTTTGGCTTGTGCTTTTTCACAAGAACAGGCTGCTGGGTTCAATTCACACTTGGCCAAAGCAGGAGACAGAGCTGAGTCACCAAACATGGAAAGTAGGCTGCATAACCCTGCCATTTCACAGGACAGGAAAAGGGCACAGAGAGGGAAAGTGACTAGCCCAAGGTTACACAGAACGTTGCTATACATTGCTGAGTCCAGAATCCTGGTTCCTGCTGTGCCCCTATGGCCAACCCAAGCCCTCCTCAGGTGCCTAAGTAGTTACCTAGGAAGTACCAGAGCAGGACCCCCACCGCAGCCAGCACGACCAGGGCCAGCCACAGGGGCGCCACTCGGAGGTAGTTCCGGCCTTTCCTCTTCGAGTCCTTGGGACCCTTGAACATTCCCTCTGGCTCTGCCTCCTCGCCCTCGCCTCCATCGCTCTGTCCACCAGCTTCATGCGGAGCCTCAGTCCTGGACATCCTGGGGAATGGGGAAACAAACAGGTTGGAAACAGCTTGGTATTTGCAAAGCAGCCTTCACTGAGCTCCGATGGGGCCCTACCTTTGGGAGGGGAAGATAGCAACCCCAGGTAGAAGTGTTTGGAAGCGGGCACTGAGCCCAGTTCACAGAGGGAAGCAATCTGAGTTTCTCACCCAAGATGGGGAGCAGTAGTGCTCCGGACGCCACTTTCTCTCCTGCATCTGCCTCCCTCGGCTTCAGAGCTAGAGTAAGAGGGGTGCACATGGAGACAAATGGGCACAATTGTATCTCAAACCCTGAGGACCACAGAGATGGCGCCAGCCCAGTTATACTTCGTTCTGTTGTACAGAAGGGCACCAGAGCAGGGCTGAATTGGTGACAACTAACAACAGCATTAAGTAAGGAGCTTTGGTAGCGAAGTGATTACAAATCGGGCTGCTAACCTCAGGGTCAGCAGTTCGAAACTACCAGTTGGTCCGTGGGAGAAAGATGAGGCTTTCTGCACCTGTAAAGATTTATAGCCTAGGAAACCCTGTATAGGGTTGCTATGAATTGGAACCAACTCCACGGCACATAACAACAACAACAGTGCTTGCACACCAGCTGCTGTGGCCTCAGCGTCCGTTCCATTGAGGCTGCTTGTCCTCCTTCTCACAAAGTCAAGCACTCCTCCCTCCCCAAGAAGCTCCCACCGGAGCCAGCCTTCAAGAAGTACCAGCCATTGTCCTCTCCAAAGCCTCATGCTGAAGAGACAGGAACAAAACCTAATATTCACTTAGGGCCTGACCAAGACAGTTCACAGATGCCAGGACTATGAGGACTGTTGTCTTCCTCAGGTCCACTCTGTTCTGGACACTTCATGTGATTATCGGCTTAAACCTCCCAACGCCTCTATGAACCAGATTCTGCATTCATTAGGCAGATGAGGAAACTGAGGCCCAGAGTCTTCTAACAACAACTGAATCCAGGGGTGCTCCTAGCCTCACTTTCCAGGTATGATTTTAGTATCTACCACTCACCCCCAGTCGCATTCTACAGATGGAAAAACTGAAGCCCAGAGAGGCTAAGCTAAGCCACTGGCCCCAAGGTCACACAGCAGGTAAATGGTGGATGAGCCCAGGTGGCTGACTCCCTGTTCTCTCCCCTGTTCAGGGCTGGCTCTCGGTAAATGAGCTGTTAATTAACATGTACCTGATGAAATCATTACTGAGTGTCGTTCCCCTCGGGATGTCCTGGGTCGGCAGTTCTGTGTTCAGACCCCCAAACAAACTTCTGAGAGTTCAGTGGTTTCCCCGCTTCCCGTGTCTTTCAACACACCCGTGAGTTGCTACTCGGGCTGGGAAACACACCCAAAGATTCAGAAGGGTGGTGGTTGTGGGGAGGCTCAGGGGGACGTGCACACTTCAGGCTGTGTCTAAAGTTGGGGATTTACAGTGGGGTTTCTGAAAAGGGGGCTGTCTGCTCCAGGTTCTCCCGGATGGATACCAGTGCCCTGACCCTCCTTCTCAATACCCTGATCCTTTTGATACCATTCCCAGCCAAGCATCCCAGGCCTCCCTGGTCCTCTCAGCAGTCCCTACCAGGTATGAAGAAGGAAGGACTGCAGTGGCTCTCTAATGGACACGGTATACCCTGTCCCTGCCCCAGACAGGACATCTGTACATGTGGGGTGGATCCTACTGGTTTTTATGGGGTCAAGGATGGTATATGTCCTCTAATTGTGGAAAAGGCTGCCCACTGCCTACAATGTCAACAATGCCCACAGCACACTGAGTGAGAAACACTGACCATCTGTTACAGACCAGGAACAAATGATGGAAATGTAGACTTGTCCAAGGCCACTCAGCAGTCCTTCTGTCCTAGTCTGGTCACCTGTGTCCTGAGTGGCTGTCCCTCACAGCCTGCACTGTGCGGCTGGCCTGGGACTTGCCCTGGTGATGTGCCAGCTTCCATCTCTCTCAGCCCAGGGCCCCTCCCTCCACCAGAGCAGCTACACTTTACTCTTTACTCTGGAGTCTGGGTCACCAAGGAGCTATTTCTGGATGACTCACAGGGCTGTGGGGACCCAGGGGCCCAGAGGCAATAATAGGTGACATTTATTAGCCACAACGATGTGCTGTTTTCAGTGCTTTATATTCATTCTCTCATGAAAGCCTTTCAAAAAAAACCCCAAACCAAAGCAGTTACCGTCAAGCTGATTTCGATTCACGGGGACCCCACATGTACAGAGTACAACTGCGATTCCGAGGGTTTTCATGACTGTGACTTTTGGGAAGCAGATCACCAGGCCTTTCTTCTGAGGTACCCGGGAATCGATTCGAACTGTCACCCTTTCAGTTAGTAGTCCTGGCATGTAAGCACGGTGCCACCCAGGGATCCCTTAGCCTTGCACAGACCTTATTAGCCACATTTTACAGCCAGACAAATAAGGCACAGGGAGGTGGATCCACAGGTCATACATTGTGAAGCAGCAGCCCCAGTCTGCAAACTTGAGCAATTTGTCTCCAGAGTAAAGCTCTGACTGACCATTATGCTCTATTGCTTCCCAGATCACCCACGTACAGATGGGGAAATGGGTTCAGAAACGGTCCATTCAGACCAAACGCCAAGAGGAACCATCCAGGTAGGAGCCTCAGTTGGTTCACTCCTTCCTTGTCCTATTGTCCTGTGGACTTCGTCTCCCTCAGAAATGCCCAGTGCATTCATCTGGGGGACCTGGAGGATCACAGAGGACCCACTGTGTAAACTCCAGAGCTTAGACTCAGCCCTAGCTGGCAGGTCCTTTGGGCTCACCAGGGCCATCATCATCTGTCACCAGGACTCCAGCACCAGCCAATCCTAGTCCTCAGAGTGGTCTTTTCTCCTTCATGGCTCCCACCCACTTAGAACAGAACCCAATGTCCTTATCACAGACCACGAGGAATTATGTGATGTGGTCCTTGTCTGTCTTTTCTATCCCCCTTCCTCAATCTGCTGTACCCACATCCATCTCTTGGCTGTACTTCCAACACACCATACCCAAGCCCACCTCAGGGCCTTTGCACTTGCTGTCTCCTCTGCCTGGAATGCTCATTACTTCACCTGCCAAGTCTTTGTCCCCTTGCCTGACCACCTCATCCTTCTCTTACCCTCTTACCCCTTCCTTGCTACAGTTCTCTAGACAGTACTTCTGAGACCTAAAGCCATGACCATTGAGTTGCTTCTAACACATAGAGGTCCTCCAAGTGAGACAGAGTACAACCACACATCCTCAGCTATAATCTTTATGGAAGCAGACTGACACGTCTTTCTCCCTGAAACTGCTTCTTGCTGTTGTTAGGGGCCATCAAGTCGGTACTGACTCAGTGACCCAACGCACAACACAACAGAACACTGTCCAGTCCTGGGCCATCCTCACAATTGCTGCTACGCCTGAACCCATTGCTGCTGCCACTGTGCCAACCTATCTCGTTGGGGGTCTTCCTCTTTTTTTCTGGTCCTCTATTTTACCAAACATGTTATCTTTCTTCAGGGACTGGTCCCTCCTGATAATACGTCCAAAGTATAAGAGACAAAGTCTGGCCATCCTGGCTTCCAGGGAGCATTCTGGCTGTACTTCTTCCCATGAAGATTGGTTTATTTTTCTGGCAGTCCATGGTACTTTTAATATTCTCCTCCAACACCATAACTCAAATGTATCAATTCTTCTACGGTCTTCCTTATTCCCTGTCCAACTTCACATGAATATGAGGTTATTGAAACTACCATGGCTTGGGTTAAGAGCACCTTAGTCCTCAAACTGACATCTTTGTTCTTGAACACTTTAAAAAGGTCTTGTGAAGCAGATTTGCCTAATGCAATATGCTGTTTGATTTCTTGACTGCTGCTTCCATGAGTGTTGATGGTGATCCAAGCAAAATGAAGTCTTTGACAACTTCCATCTTTTCTCCATTTATCGTGATGTTATTTCTTGGTCCAGCGGTGAGGATTTTTGTTTTGTTTACACTGAGGTGCAACCCATCCTGAAGGCTGTGGTCTTTGATCTTCATCAGTATCTTAAATGTTCTTCCAATCATTACATGCTTCCTGGAATGTAAGCACTGTGCCACCTTGCACAGACCTTATTAGCTCCATTTTACATCCAGACAAATAAGGCACAGGGAGGTGGATCCACAGGTCACACAATGCGAAGCAGCAGCGCCAGTCTGCAAATTCGAGCAATTTGTCTCCAGAGTAAAGCTCTGACCACTACGCTCTATTGCTTCCCAGATCACCCACGTACAGATGGGGAAATGGGTTCGGTGGGCTCCAGTCATTGGTGGGCTCCAATCCCTGACCTTTCAGTTAGTAGGCGAGTGCTTATCTTCCTTCTTCAGTGCCGTTGTAACAGACGTGCCACAGCTACCGGCTTTAACAACCAGAAGTTTATTCTCTCACAGTTTAAGAGGCTGGAAGTTCAAGTTCAAAGCTCCGGCTCTGGAGAAAGGTCTTTGTCTCCTTTCAGCATCTGTAAACCTTGGAGATCTCGATGCACCTTGGCATCCATCTTCCTCAGGATCTAGGACCTTCACAGTGCAGGGAATAAGGACACACTCCACTCCTGGCTAGTCTATCTTAGTGATAGACTTAGAAACCTTCTCTGCTCCTCTCTCTCCTTTTATCTCTTATAAGATAATAGGTGTTGCAGGCCAAACCCTTGGGAATCTGCCGTAAATTGGATCAGGGTAGCGGTAGGATTAAAGGTGGACTCCTGGTGTGACACTGTAGGATAAACACTGGACTGCTAAAGGTCGGCGGTTCAAGCCCACCAGCTGCTCCTCGGAACCATCTAGACCACACTTAACAATAACAAGACCATTCCACCCTTACTCCTCTTATTGGTGTATTCCATCAAATCACGTCATGGGGAAATAGCTACATCTCAACTGCCAAAGCACTGAGAATCCTGGTCTAGTCATGTTGACACAGCACTTTAACTAACAAAACACAGTGCTCAACCATGGCACCACCGGATTTCCTT